CCTGCCACCCCAGCCCGACGGGCCTTCGACCCGGCCTCGAGGCGGCCCGGGCCTGCCGTGCCCTTCCGTCGCAGATTGTGAGGGTGCTGAAGGGCCTGGAGCATCTCCGTGCCCAGGAAAGGCTGCGGGAGCTGGGGCTGCTCAGCCTGGAGAGGAGCCCCAGCTGAGAGGGACCCTCAGCCCTGGCTGTCCCTCGCTGTCCCTGGGTGCAGGAGGGGCAGAGCAGTGCCCAGGTTCTGCTCCAGGCCCAGCAGCGGCACCAGAGGAACAGGCAGGGACTGAGCCCAGCAATTCCCCCTGCACAGGAGACAGAACTTCCCTGAGCAGTGCCCAGCCCTGAGCAGAGTCTGGAGAGGGAGTGGAGTCTGGTTCCAGAACACTCTGGACACAGTCCGGTGCCATGTGCTCTGGGCTGCCCCTGGCCCTGCTGGAGCAGGGAGGCAGCACCAGCGGAGCCATTGAGTCCTGACCGGCCCCGGGGCTGTGCCCATCGCAGCCTGGCTGGGGCTGGCGGGGCCCAAGCCCAGGGAGGGAAGGAGGCGTCGTGTGAGGCGATGGCCATGTGGGAGCCTCGTTGGGACAGCCACTGCCAGAGGTGCCATGGACTGGGACAGTGGCATTGATCAGGGAATTCTGATTCAGAGGTGACACAGAAGCTGTGTGATTCACACACTGCCATGCTCTGAAATCTGAATTTGTCACAGAACTGCAGAGTATGCTGAGCTGGAAGGCGTCCACCAGGACCATGGAGTCCAACCCCTGGCCCTGCACAGGATAGTCCCAAGAATCCCTCCATGTGCCTTCACGTTTTGGGTGAATACCCTGAAAACAAGCCCAGCACCCAAAGGTGGGGCTGTGATTTGTCTGGTGAGCCCTGTGCAGGTGTGTTCACACCCTCCCACCCATGCAGAGACACTGGACGTTCCATTGTGCAGCAGAACACTGGCTCAGGACAAGACCCCACATATGATTCTTCCTGTGTGGATCATGACACTGCTCAAGATGCCTTCAGCAAATGGACAAATTCTATAGCACAGTAAGAAAGCCCTCTAGGAGTGAAAAGGATGGATGGCTTTTGTTACTTCAGAAGGACACAAGCACTTAGGGGATGAAGTAAAGTGTAATTCCCTCCATCCTCAGTATTTATGCCCTTTCTGGCTCAGTGACACACACTGGAATTCAGCCTCACAATGCTAGAAAAGAAAGTCCATTTGATTCCTTGCCTGAAGTATAGAAGCAGAGAAAAGTTATCACCAATCCTTTAGACTTCATGTAACTTAAGGATCTCTTGCATTTTCAAGTGACTGGTGTCCTGACAATCTGTACATGCTGTTTATCACAATTCACTGAAACAGTGTTTCTGAAGAGTTTAGTGACATTTTATTGTGTCTCTGAGGCTGCTTTGAGACTTTCTGGATCGCTGGGACATAGAAATCCCTTGCTCATCACTGTAAGTCACACCTAGGTTTCACTGGTTCTTCCATGGCATTTCACATCAGTGGTCATAAGAGTCAGGAATCAGAGTCTTTTTTTTTCTACATGGAAATGTAAATTAAAAAACCAGGAAATACATGAAACTTTGAAAACAAAGCTGGTGTTTTGGTGTTAAAGAGCCCCTAGAACTGAGGTCCTTTGAGAGTTCTCAGAGACGCATGTGGAATCTGTCTCAAGGAATGAAAGCAAAGAGAGCTGGTTTGCTTTTCCTATCACAACATTTTGCCTTCCAAGAGTAGGTATTTTTTCTCTGATGGCACAATTACTGAAGTATGTTTGGAAACATTTTGAAATGTCGCTAAGTCAGGACCATATCCAGAAACTCTCAATTAACTTCATGGCTGCTTGAGCCAGTCTGCTCCTGCCTAAAATACACAGCCCCAGACCTGAGCACCTTCCTATTTCAACACTATTTTATTTGTGCCATACCACTGACTACTCTTTAGCCATCACTTAATACAAAAAAATACAGCAGCTCCAGAAGAACAGCCCACAGAATTACTCTAAGGGCTGGATTTGAGTAAGCAGGAGAGACTGAAGGTTGGAGGAAATGAGTGTGATATGACAATGCAGCTGGAGATAGAAATTATATTTGATAGATATTGAAGGGAATGAACACATCATGGAGATCTGTGCAAAGGACACAACAGCTCAAACACAGAGACTTGGAATCCATACAGGAGAACTGAAGAGGCTGTTGGGCATCATTCCCTGTCCTGAATTTTGGGAGCAATGAGTAAAATGAGAAAATGAGTAAATTTGTATCTTGCTCTGTATTCTTATCAGAAGACAAGATAAGGTGAGGTTGGGATGGAGATAGAGGCAGACAGAGAGTTCCCCAAGAGCAGCAATATCAAGGAGTTTCCAGCTGGGAACATTCCCAGCCATGATGTTGATATTCAGTCCATGATTACAGTATGGAAAACCGTTTGTGAAGAGTTTAGAAAATGGAATTTGGCACGGGAGGGGATAGAAAGAAGAGTGTCAGGAGGCAGAAACACTCAGTGCACGAGAGGGGTGGTGCAGGCAGAGGTTTTTAGGGCAGGGGAGAGAACAGGAGGGAAGGGAGATGTGGCAGCAGAAGCTGGAGCAGAAGGGAGCCACTGCCTGCCTCGGGGTAAAATCTGCAATGACAAGGCTGAGAAAATGGGGGGAAGGATGAGAGTGGGTGTGAAATCAGTCCTGAATGATGGACA